CGGATAGAGGAAAAGTAATTAAATTACGTAAAATTATGAAAACAATACATTTAAATACACCGTTCCTACGTCTTTCTTGAGCTTTCCTCTACAAACTGTAGTAGCATTGGACCCTAACCACATGACTTTTGAAGCTGAGAATATAATTACTGAAAAGACATATTCAACAATTGACACGAAGAGAAGCTTAGCTATGGAGAACGCGAGAACATTATTTTAATTCATTCGATGGTATGGCTCAGCCTTGCAGGCGTAGTCATTCTTGTGTAACTTATCTCTTTTATTTATAATAAACATGTTGTTATTTCTCCAGCCTAAATGTGTTCTTCACCATATATAGATGACTATTACGATAGGACAAGTCGGTGTAGTCAATGATGTGACTTCCACGTACAATCTTATAGATTGGCTAGTCACATAACAGATCTGCAATTTTAGGATTACGTTTATTATCAGAGCAGTACTAATAAGAAAGTAGACCATAATTCTACAAATCTACATCGTTTTTCCATTCATATTGTCATCCCTATTTCTCTCTGTTTTTCTTCCTCTTCTGCTGGTAAGGATTCTACTTCCGATTCCTGCTACATACTGCTTATATCTGGTTTTACAAGTAGTAATTGCCACAATACCGGTTCGTGTTGAAAAGTTCGGCTCTAATTTTTAAGCCTGATTCAAAACTTCCGTCTTACTCTTGATAAATGACTCCTTACCTTTTGCACTATGATATCACCTGGTGACGAAAGCTCTATTGGGTGATAACTCTAACTTTAAATGGCTGTCAAATTCTCAATACCCATGTATATATGAAAATTGACCTTCCTTACTTACCATTAGGGATAATTTAACTTGTGAGGTTTCATTAATATTATCCCATATGTTCTTCAACTGATATTTCAATACTTCTATCGTTAATTATTTAATACTAGGTAGTGTTCCTTTAATATCTTCAGTAGTATTCACTTTGCAAGTTACATATCATTCACCTATGTGGATATATCGCATACTGCAATGTAAACATAGTATGTCGTATAGCATATTTTTGTGTTCGCTCAGCGGTTACAAAAGGCATTTTCATGAATTACTTTTGTATAGTTTGTAGTTCAGCCCTCAGTGTTCCATTACTTGCCGGTCTTTTACATAACAGGTTAAGCTGAGCTATGTCACAGGTCTGAAGCCAAATTGTGCTATGTTGGATTGGTTAGCATTAGATTCAAAAAGTTCCCTACCATACCTCTTATGTAAGTTTCATGTTTCTGAAGCTATTTTGAAAGTTGCACTGGTATATACTGTTAGGCTAATTCTACGATACATGCACAATAAAGCAAATCATCTATCAATGTAGGCGACATTTGGCCAATTTACTTCGTGCAGTCATAGTCTAGACTAACGAGCAGATCATGGGATTAGACATGTAGTACAAAAGTAAGGACACTAACATGTTGCTTGTGTAATTGTTCTTCTACTATCTCCAAGACGATGCATTTCAACTCGGTTTTGCGATTTGCACGGAGAGTTTGTGCTGATGACAGTCTAAATAATACAGTCTCGTTAAGCCATCTAGTAGAAAATGTTCTTGGTCAATAAAACTTGTAACTACTGTAAAGAGCTTGGAGAAAGTTACAAAAACACTCACGACGTGTGATGGATTTATCGTTCGGCAGTTCCTAACTCGTTTTCTCTTTTTTAAGGTTTGCCACAATGCCGTACTTCGGAGCTAAATGTTAAAATGTTGCAGTGCACAAGAGTACCAGCAAACAAACTGGAAAGTAGTAGAAGCAATTGTAGATAAATACTCCATATCTTAGTATGCCTGTAACCAATATACCTAGATTAACAACAAAAATTGTCTTCAGTCTTGTCGACGTGGTATATGGTGTATGAACCTATTAAGAACTAACTTTGGCAGAAACTACTGTTCTTTTAATACATAGGAATATTCATCAATATCCGAACGGATAAACTGACACAAATTGGGCTGCGCGTATGTAGAAGTAACCAAGGTTTTCCTTAAAGCGGCTCAGCAGTAACATGTAAAGGATTTACCATTGTCTAAAAAAGTGCTTTCAATAACGGTTTCGCGATTCATTTCAAAAATATTCACGAAAAGTTTTGTTGCCAGTTTATTTTATTCATTAGCAGCCCAATACAGAAATCTGTCGATCTCCAATCATTCGCGCATATAATTCTAAATTTGCCGTTCTGAAACGCAAGAAATAAAACATTACTTACCTTATAAATTCTCAAGTAATCTAACTTATAATCATTCCAAACCCTTATCATAATTGTGCGGTTTAGACCTCGGTAGTTTGAACATAAATTGGCAGTTCTAGTGGGAGTTTAACTTGGATATTGTATTACTTTCACAGCTGAATCCACAAATCGATCCAAGTCAGAACACCATTGAAAACCACGGTGGTCCATAGGTCAGGCGTGTGCGAGATCGTAGGTGCACGCTGTTGAGGAATATTATATCAGGAAGAAACAGTCATCTAGTGCTTCCAGGTTTCCAATGATGATCGAGCTTAGATCGACTGGTAAAGTCAACTATGGGAACAAATGCATTTAAGGTAAATCGGTAGACTTTGGAGACGCCTGGAGCGTACACTAGCTTTAATTAAATCACACACAAGTGCCGTACCGAGTAGGATTGTGTTGATAACCCTTGGTTTTTCAGCGAACACTAAACTTTGTTTGTAATTGATGGATCAAGACAATTTTCTCACCCCCTAACGCTGTACTGCTTAAACTTATCCACGAGTTCGGGTTTGAGGAATTTCATGTATAGAAGGGACTCGAGAATAGTGAAAGTTTCTTTCGAAGATTGTGTAACATCCTTATCACTTAGCCTCGAAATCCAGAAACTCTGTAGGCTAACACAATTCAGGTTGCACTGACACACAAAATAATGGTAATTAAAAAGCATCTTGATAACAATCATAGCTTTGAAGAACTGAAAATAACACAAACGAAAGTGGCAAGATTGGAAAGTTAACACTAAAATAACGTTTCTGAATGTGTAGAGTAATCGTATGTTTTTGTAGTCGTTCATGGGCAATGTTAAATGAGAGTCTCCGTACAGACTTGCCATCAACCAGTCATCTACATATACATATACGAAGTTGGGATCTCGAAAGATGTCGTCGATGGAAGGCCGGAAGGTTTGTGTAGCATTTCTTAAGTCGAAAGGTATGCGAAAAGAATCACAGAGTCCTGGTTGCGTGATGATAACGGTCTTGGGGAGGTCGTCTACAGCCATGGGAATTCGGTAATGCACTTTAACCAAGTTGATTTTCAAAAATACACTTGTGGGTGCGGTGACGTGAATAATTTTGGTATTCAGTCGCCGATAATCACCATTTGGACGCTAGTCGTTATTGTTTACTTTGGAGGGCATGTGTAAGGGAAATCTCCATGTGCTGTTCGATGGACGAATTATCCCCAAGTCCATCATGTACTTGAATTCGTTTTTGATCGACCTTAGCTTTTCAGGAGCCAATCAGTGAGCTTTTAAGAACACAGGTGGTCTTGTATTTGTGATTTTTAGTGTATTTTGGTCACGAGTAGTACAGTTCAGGGTACTTGTCCAGCATCCGTTGAATGTATGGATTGATCATGTGCTTAGCAATGACCGGGGATAACCTACCAACAGAAAATGAAGTTCCGCAAACAGTTAATTTAGTAATCCTGTACACTATCCTCCGTTTCCACGTGTCGATGAGTAGATTATTGTATTGCGGCACGTCTATATCAATGGCTGGCGTACAGAAATATACAACGATGAAAATGCAGTGGACGGGTTTCCGAAAATCTACGTCAAAATGAACATATCGCTAACCGTATATCCCCATTTACCACCTATAAGTTCAAGAGTGGTTCATGCAGACAGTCGTTAGAATTTGCTGGAAGAACGCTTACTTCTGCGTCAGTGCCAGAGAGGTAGTGGACTTTCATCACCACATCAGCGGTGTACAATAGACGTCTGTTTCCGCCGGCTACGGTTGCTTACACAGGAGCTGTCCAAACAGGCCATCATCAAAGGTCCATTGACGAATGGCCTCTCGCATACATAGCAACATTTCTGTTGCTGAATCGTATTGCAGCTCGATGTTGTGGAAGAGTTGGTCTAAACATTGTCGGTTGGTCAGGTCTCCACGATTAAGGATAGCCTTCTTCAAAGTGTTGTAAGTTTCAGAAACATTAATTGCTCGCGGGGGTCAGCTTCTGCGTGGTAGAACCAGGCCTGCGTACTGTCATGACATTCTGGTATGACTGGTGGAAGGTGAAATAGTCTTAATCTTACATAACTTTGCTGTTTGTGCTGTCATAATGACGATAAGATATACTAATGGGCGAAAACATGTCCGAAAATGTAAAACATTATTACTACATGCAAAACTAAAAATGGTGTATAATTTCACAGCAAGGAACAGAAGCACAGTTTACTGTCCGGTGTATCAGATCACGCTGAGCTCACCACCAAAGATGCCACAGCTATTCGCAGTTGGACAACGCATTTACATGCAACACTTTTATGATTGAAGTATATCAACCCAGTCAGATCAGATGTCAGAAATTAAGAGGTTCGAAGATATGTCTGAGAGGCTGTCGATATGTCGAGAAACGTTTGGTCTAAGCTGGCTGTCGGTTGTAAGTGATGCGTAGCACGTGTACACATTCGTGATCTAGTGCGGATGAGTGACCGAGCTCCTCCATCTATGTGCGTCCAGTAGAACTAACGAGGTCAGGATAATGTCGAAAACTCATGGAACTATTTGTTTTGAGGATTAATTTACCGCTACAGACTTCTTGGTTTGCCAAAACCTGTAAGTTCCATACCAGCCAAATTCAGGATAAAATGGATGAATGTAAGTGCGTTTTTTGTCTGTCTTCACGGTAAGGAATATGAAACATATGAGTTCATTTTCAGATCTTATTATGACTATTTTCATCAGTGCATTGATATGTTACACTCTACGGTGGTTCAAACCTGTGAACTAGTGAAAGATTGAACCTTATCTGTTTATTGATAGTGTACGTTTATATATGCATTCAATACACAAATAGAGTAGCATTTTGTTGCTTGATTATTCTAGACGATGAATGGAGACCGAGGGTTGTAGGTTGTTGTAAAGTGGTATGATCAACTGATTTGGACGACCTTGTATGGTCGACCGTAACAAGTGGCGGGTCATTACCTCTTGTGTTCATGATTCTTTGGGCAAGGTGTCTGGGTAAAAGTAACGTCTTTCCATTAACGTAAGATCCATTCAAGCTTTCTATATCAAAGCCGTAGATTTCCCTGCAGATGTAACGCCAATCGGGCAGTTTTATGCCGTACCAAACGACGAATATATGGACGTACATATCCAGTTAGCTTAGTTTATCCTAACGGCGGTTCGATCCGTATTAGATTTCATGAGCCTCGAATAATACTTCAGGTTAGTGCTCTTAAAATCATCATAAAGTATGTTTATACGTTTCATCCTGAAATTCGTTTTCCGTTGTACAATTAAGTTAAACTTGAAAAAAATAGACAGTGGTGTGTAGTCGATAAGCTGTTACTTTCCATAGGTCCTGAGGTAACTGTCATCACAGTAACCCCTTATCTCAGACCTCATATATCCTGTAATTAAAACTTAAGGCTAATACAGTTTCCAGATGTGCATCAACAAGATCTTATCAATTTCAATGAAAAGTCTGTGGTCATAAACTTTGAACGTAAACACCTTAGATAAGCACTTAAATGATCTTCAAAGTGTACAGTAGTGTGTTATTTAACTTATAAAATTCTCTTTTACCAAGAGCATGGCTTACAATAATTCTAGTTGTGTTCTATGTACAATTAATTCACCTTTCGTATGTCTGTTAAATAGTTGCAAGAATATTGAAGATTACCAGACTTACTCGTACTCTAACTTAAAATTTCAAGTGACATTTATGTGTTTAGAAAGCAAATTGTCTCAATAATCAAGTGTCTTCCAGTTCTTTACCTAAATGAATAGTACATTAGTTTGTAATATTAAATGACTGTTATGGAGCATTGTAGACACCGTATTATTTTTCAACCCATTTTTTATTTACCATTGGGTTCTGTGTATGTGTAAACTTTACACCAATACCAACCATGAATTTATAACCAAAAGTTGAAACTGAAGAATCATTAGCGTAGAACTTGAAGTTCAGGCTGTAGTGATGTAAGTATTAACACACTATATAGTGAAACTCTCACAAAAGAGTAAACATCAGCTCCACTTTTTATAAGTAACACCTTATAAATTTGTAAGTGTTCTGTCGTTCAGCAGTCCATAGAAAAATGACCAAAAACAGATCTAGGTAAATGAACTAAAGAGAGTCAGCATTATTGACAGAATTCTCATGATAAAATTGTTTATTCATTAAATAGCTAACAGGTCCTTGCACTAGCTGCCGAAAATCAATAAAATTGAGATCTAACCTAAGAAAGTCTCCTGATGCAGTGTACTTCCCACTGACATGTGATTATGTATCTTAAAATGTTGGCAATCGAAAATCAGAACTTTATTATTGAGTCACTACTAGAGATTTAGTGTCAAGATTTAATTACATGCCCTCTGGTTGTCACTGTATCAATAACGCTAATGTGGGCGTGTGGTTTATAATTTGGAGTTATTGTCCTAAACCTTTGTAACATTACTGTAAAACCTTGGGTTTTATTCTCAAAACGTTTAGTATTTGTTTCGCTCAATCTTCCTCTTCAGATCCCTCCAGATTTAAATGACTGTTCTCCAGAAGAAAGACAGAAACGTCTTCTTAGACGCGCTCCTCAATCAAGGTTGACTTTGCAAGAACAAATAGAAGACACTTTTGATCAAGAAGCTTACAGTTTTCTCTTGAAGAAAAATTGATTCCTCACTCCCTGTACATAAACTTCAATTTTAGTAATAAATTATATTGACTTATCCTCTTTATTTCCCTATAAAATATGTATCATGTCGTATTTCGGGAGTGTTCTGAAGAACTACCTGATCAGTCTCTATATACATAAATATAATCTATCGTAGACCTGCCATATCTAAGTCAATTACTTCTAGGTATTTCTCTGGGTATACATAAGTCATGAGTAATAAATATGACAGGAAAACCTGTACTATTTCATCCATTTCAGAATCGTTGTCACAGGTAATAGCATGTTCACACCGGGTTATAATAATTATCTTGTTAAGGTTTTAAACGTAATACTCAAGCGTCTTTTCACATATTACATCCACTCTGCTTGCAGATGGAATTCAGCCAATCTTATGTCATTGGTTTTGTTTGCTAAGATAGCAAACTTTTAGGAACATTTCTCCCGATTCGACTTACCAGGAATCGATCTTGTATCACGAGGTCCGCTTGTTAGCTTAAGATTCGCAGGTGATATAGTTCTGTTTGGTAAGGACTGACAAAATACAGTTTTCCGACCACTTTAAACAACAATACAATCATGTTTGGGATACGTTTCCAATGTTCATAAGTACGGCATGTGCTTTGCATCTTCGAAGTGCAAAGTACTTCTACCAGACTGGGAGGATTCTAATCCTGTACTCACCCTGGATGGTGAGCAGATAGAATTAGTTGGGAAGTTCGTGTATCTAGGTAGCTGAATAAGTGCTGGTGGTGGCGTGAGTGATAAGATCAATGCAAGTATAGTGAAAGCCAGAGTGGCTTATGCCAATCTGAGCCATCTTTGATGCCTTCGTGATGTCATTCTGGCTGTAAAAGGTTGGATCTACAACGCATTGGTGAGAGCAGTTTTGCTCTATGCTTGTTAAACCTCAGAAGTTGAGTGCTACCACTGAATACGAATTCTCAACCGGCTACTCTGAAACCGCGCGTGTTATTCAAACTGACCTCACTTAACGTTCGCTCACGAATGCCGACTGGACAAGAGATAGGGTTGGCTATGTGTTAAGAAAGTCTCAACATTGATGTCTGTTATCTGTCTGGGGTCCGTATTCAAGACTCTAGCGAAGTGACACACGCTCGCTCTCCATTTTTCGCTTCGAAAGCTTGTTTCGTATGCGTTTATTTGGAGATTCTGTGTTATCTCCATCTGGTTTTGCTGGCGTTGGTGTCCCACTGAGCGCAAGAGCTGAAGCAGAACTGGCCGATTGGATCCCTATTAGTCTTCGGTTGTGTGCTGTTAGGTTAGAAAGTTCCACCAAAGGGAGAAATGTGTATGGTAAACGATGATTTTGGCTATCTCTGCCTATACCCTGACATGTTGCTGCCAAGATTCCACCAAAGATGACCAGGAGGTGTGTTTGATTGATATTGCAGTACTAGCTGGATATTTGAATGTGCAGGTCGGGTGTTTAGGCATAAAGGAGAGTCGTTTGTGTGGCTGATGGGGGCTTGTTGGTTGCAGATCAGATAACATTGACCGTCTATGACAACTTCGCGCAGACTTGAGATGGTGGATAATATTCAGAGCGCAGGTGGATAATTTAGTTTTGGTTGTGAAGGTTTCACTGTTCGTCTGAACAACATTATCAATACAATTTAGTTTGAAAATTTTTGAAACAATGGTCCATTTCAATACTAGTACAGTTCAAACGTTTAAGCATGTTGTCTTATAGTATTCATGTTAGCAATCAGATCACACGGAGATTTTCATGATAATCAAACATTTGGTCTAGGAACATTTTGTGCATAACATTTCTAGTATTTACTCATCGAACACGTGGTTATAAAGATATGACAGGTGTAACGGTGAGGTCTTTCGACAGTCGGTTTTCAAAGGTCATTTTTATTTTTATGAAATAATTTGATAAAGTGTGGTTAAATCTAGCGTAAAACTTTAGAAAATGAGTACTCATGTTTGTATAATGTTATAGATTTCACACCAAGTGGAGTGCTTACACTTCATTTTAAGTAGACCGAAGCAATATCTAGCTTTGGATATGATTTTAACTGGTAGACAAGCAAAGTAAATTTGGGATCAGACAGATGAGTACGGGGTCGATAACAGTTGTTTTAATCTATATAGGTTGTTCTATAATTTCTCATATTTACTATGTGAAAATAGGATTTAGTAATGTGACGTGACCCAAAATCGATAACTCTGTTACTCAGTCATCTATTGTTAACTGTGTATGAGATTTTAGACGTACTATTATATGACCTTCACATAACATGCTTTGGCTATTTTTTTCTGATGGTGCTATCCGTCATCTTTATCGTCCGTCATATTGTTGTGGTGTTTGTTAATCTCAGTACATTTAGTGCTGCAATATATCTGTATAATGTTCTGACAGAATTGTGTTGGTGTTTGCACGAGGTACTGTTTTTAAAAAGGGACGTAATGATGTGACACAAGTGTGACAGTGATTTAATCTGAAGAAATTAAGAATTTACCAATTTCAAGCATGAGACTGTATGTTTTTTTAGCAAATCTTATTCTCAAGTCTTAAATATCTGTAATCCAGCTATTCAGCGTCGATGCTTATCATTTTCAAGTCTATTAAGTAATCAATTCATTCAATAGAGATAATTTTGTGAGCTTTTATTTGATTGACCTATGATAATTCTAATGAATACTTGATTAAAATCTACTGTGATTACGTCATATGATTAAAGGCAAATACACCAAGTCAAAGAAATACACAGATGTATCTATGTACCTGTGTATTTACATGATTGGATTTAACTAACAAATTAAACGCCTACATATATACATCGGTGCACTGAGATATTAAGTAATTAAATGATCAATACTGTCACTTGATCAAACATTCTGAAAAGTATTAAATTTTACAAAAATTAGTCGTAGTTATGTATAGTCATAAATAATCAGTAATACCATGGATTATAGAAAACTGAGGATTATTCAATGAGAAGTACAGATAAATTCGTACATTACCAATCAATTAAATTATTTCAACACAGATATTTACTTTTCACTCATTCCCTTTCTATTCAATGCCTGAATATATGAAGTTGACTTGTCGTACAGATTCACTCATTCAACCAGAATTCAATGGAACTAAAGAGAACAATGAATCTTCTTGCACTGTTTTACTATCACCATCTTTATCATCAAAATCTTCTTCATACAAACATATATACTTAATCTATTCTATTTTAATATTTATTTTAGTAGTCGTTATACCATTAATGTTAAAAATGACATTATATGGTGAACCAAGCTTTTATTCACTTTTCCCAATCTATTCAATACTTTTCTCATGTACAACAATATTTGAAGTAATCAAACGTCTTCGTACATTACAACATGAAATGAATGAAGACAATGCACCAGCGGAAGTGTATTTTTCTTGAAAAGAACTTCATAAGTCAACATATGCCATATCTGTAAACTTCATAATTATGTACATTTTTTCATTCTATAGTATTTATTTATTGAGTTCAATATTCGATACGATTAAAATACCTATTATAACCCCAGAATTATCGTTTCCATCATCGCGCTTACATGTACATCAAACCTCCAAATTGAAAACATTCTCAATTTACTCTCTTTTCATTTTTATGTTGTTGGAAAAAAATGGATAGTTTTTTGAGTAAATAAATGAAAAGCATTTATCTATTCAACCAATATTCAACTATTCAATAGATCAGATATTAGCGATATGTCTGTTGATTTAAACAAAACTAATACATTTATAATATAACGACGCTATATTCAGATTTATGTACCCATTTATTTCACTATTATATATGCTGAGATTCATTTATAAATTGTTCTTTCATGTTTTATCCAAAAACAGTCACATTTTGAATGCGTAAAAGATAACCCATTTTGTTTTAACTCCTAATAACTAATTTTGTGGTAAGTTATATGTAATTATGTTGTTATCACGATACATTATATATACATATATATAAAACAATAACAGTTTTAATAATAAACTGATATTTGTTTGAAAAAAGTCATTGATGAGAGACCAACCAGTATGTTTTGGCATAAGACTTCACATTAAAGTACTAACAACTAATAATGGTTAGAATATTCAATAGATTGAACTGATGATTGATGTATTTTTCTTTTGTAATTGTCAGACACTGAAATGCTATTAACACTACAATTTAGATATCGAATTCTACAAAAAGAATATATGATATAATGTACTAAAACTTCAATATGAATCCATCTCATCATGAAGAGTATGAAATGAACTGATTTTTTATTCAAATAATTTATTTATATAGATTGTAAAATATCGATTCTCACTGTAAGTAATTTGTAGAATCGAATGGCAGTTCTTTGTGTATATATGCTAGTTTACAGTAGCTATTCATATAATATACCGTTTAAGCTATATATTTTAAAAATATTTTTCATAATCGATATGAAGGTTAGTGGCTTATGCTTAATTGAATAACTCCTTTTTAACACCATTATTTAATAGTTATTTTAATTGACTATTAGATATGCGTTGCATTCAAGTTTATGTTGTAGAATGGTATATCTTAAATGATCATTGAAGGTTAGATCAACCTATCTGAATGATAACCCGTTACTTACTAGTTAATGAACGCCGAAAAGATTCGTTTACTTAACATTTTCTACAAACTGATATGATATTGAGGGGTAGGGGTAGCACGTTCTTCAACGAATAGACGTGAAAATTGTCATCTATCCTTAATTATGTAAGCGTTTCTTTTTTATTGAAAAAAGAGGTACTGATATTTCCACTTGTTAACCCAAATAGTTTGAAGTGTGTAGTATTTCTGAGAGTTTTAAACTCAGATGAAGCAGCTATCAATTGCTTCTTGATCTCAATAAAATTGATAATAACATAATAAACTAATAAGTTTTGACTTGAAATATTTCCTATCGATTGCCATTTTTTTCCAATTAGCTGATTGTAGTACAGGAATTCCATCAACTGGAAATTACGAATTGTACCACTTTTTTATAGTTTGGCCAAATTAAAACAGTACATAAATGTCATTATTAGTCTAATTGCTTATTCATAATAATATTATAAGATTATCTTCAATGTTTGTCTATAGTGATTGTTTAACTTTTAATTTACACTAAGTATAATTAAGTAATAATAAAATAAAGACTGAATACATGATAGACTATTGAATTTTGACATTCAGATCTGGCTGAGAAACATTTAACAATACATAACAATCCATCAATATAACACATCAAATAGATGTACAGCCTCGCTTAACTTTAGTAAATTAATAGCTTAAATTAACACTATACAAATGTTAATATTTTCTTTTCATTCTAGAATGTCAATACTTAAATTAAATATAAATCATATCAATACATTAAGAGATGAATAGTCTTTATATACAATTTAAGTGATCTTCAATTTTTCAGTCACAGATTTATTTTCCCTGACACTGTTCATATTACTATAAATGTATAAAAATCATTTAGATGATCTCATAAATCATTGTTGAAATAAATTTTCAATTAGATTAGTTGTAAGTTAATTTTTATTTTAATTTATTAAAAGAAATTAACATGCATAAATTGTTCAATTGAATTTATTTAGGTCAATAAAGTATGCATAGATTAATTGTTAATAAGAAAATAATAATAATAATAAACCGATGTTTATCATTCATAGTCTTAACTATTCAATCATTCACTGAATCCTCTTTCTTTTCTTTTCATTTTTTTTTTGATGCCTCATTTTCTAACTTATCCAAAATGATCATCTAAGGACTAGTTACTAAGCTTCTCTTTTTTTATTTGTTGTTGATGTTGTTGTTGTTGTTGAAACTATTGATTTTTTAATAAAAATAATTTTGTTTTTACACAATTATTTATTCAGTTGAGGTCACTTGTGACCATTAATGTAATGTATATCATGTGATATCATTATTTTATTAATATTAAAAAGATTAAAAAAAAAAGAAAAAAAGAGAAGAAAATAAATGTGAATATATATACATAATGATAAAACTGGTTAATATTCAATGGATAAATGATGAAATTGACTTGTATACCCTTTTTTTCATTTTTTTCTTTTTTTCTTTCAGAAATTGTAACATTATCATAGATAGTTTTAAAATAAATAATTTTTTTCTATTTTTTTTGTTTTATTGAATTAATCAGAATATTATAAAATGGATTTAGATTATTTTATCATTTATAAGTAATTAAATGATATTTCAAATAATTTTTAAAAAAATTTAAATTAAACAATAATAGACAATGGAAAAGAAATCTGTGGTATCTTTTGTTGAATGTATCACAAATAAATCATAATTCTTAGAAGGGGTTTTATTGAGAATTTAGTAAATTCAATAGTTGAAGTGATGAGTCAATTGAAGCTAGACCACCATAGAAAACGTGGAAGCATTGGACGGCTGTTTCGTTCTAGTATGAGACTCCTCAGCGATGCGCATCCACGATTTCATCCAACTCGATTCTAACCTAAAACCTATCAGTCTCGCATGCGAACGCTTAACCGCTTGACTACTGAACTGGCATACAACGGTGTTAATGTCTAACTTCAACCAATCCATGAAATTGAGCCGGCTCAGTGATTTAATGGTTATGCGCTGGCGCGCGAGACTGACAGGTCTTGGATTCGAATCTCGCGGGGAGTTGGATCGTGGATACGCATCACTGAAGAGTCCCATACTAGGACAATTGATTTCAACTATCGAAATCACTATTCGTTGAAAAATCCCCATTATATTAAAACATAATTTTAAATAATTAATATGAACGAAAAATATCCTTTTCAATAATTTCTCATCAGTTTCTACACTTATGAATCCAACTTAATAATCTATAAAATTGACCAGATTTAAGGTAGAGTACATCATTTGGAAATTGTAATATGTGAATCAAGAATTTATAAATCAAGAAAGTTTTAAAGAAAAACATAGCCAATAAAAGAGAGTATACAGAATGCATAACCATGAATAAAAATCCTCCGTGTATACACTTATAATTCAGAGGCGATACATCTAGTGAGATGCTAAAACTGAAGTTAAGTAGATCAATCCAAAATACCTTTAATGCAGGTAAACTACGATTAGTGTTTTTCACACGTCCAGTGATCACTCCGAGATTGAAAGACAAATTGTTTAGACTAGCTACTTCTTTCTGTATCTATCAATTCAACTGCTCCTGTGGAGCAATTTCTATTGTCAGATGTTCTAGGAATTTATATATTCGGGCTCATGAGCACCTCCCAGTGTAGTTAAGCAAAGGTGTAGTTAAAACGGTTAACAGCTCCACTTTAGGCCATCTAGTTCAGACGGGACATACAGCCAACATGGAACAATCTTTCGCAATAATATATCGTGTTAACAGCAGTCTACCTAATTCCGTCAGACTAAGAAACCTGCAGACGGTTGAAGTAATTGCTATTCGGATCAAAAAGCCAGAGATTTGTATCCAAGAGAAATATGTTCAGCCGCTCCTTTTACCCTGGCCAACTTCGGGGTCAACTATGGTAACGTAATTCGATTAATGTTCACTTTTATGTCCCAAACTTATTATTATTATCTTTATCATTGTTATTATTGTTATTATTACGCCTGATAACCTTTTTGAGAAATTTATTCATCATTCACCCCTATCTACTATATCTGACCTAAGTCATATTATTCTACATATTACGTAATTTCTGATTTTTATTGCATTATTGTCTCCCTCACAACCCATGTTGACCAATTTTATTCTGATCATTTATCTCACAATTTCATTTCACTTATAAACTGATTCAAGTTAACACTTCACATTAGTCAGCCCCAACATTAACGATTTGATTGAGATCTTGAACCGGTTGATGTTAGACCACCAGTGAAAGCCTGGAAGCATTGGACGGCCATTTCGTCCTATTATGGGACTTTATACGGGATTTTATATGACAGACAACAATTCGTGATTCACATAATACAATTTTAAATGATGTACTCTGCCCTAAATCTGGCCAATTTTATGGATTATTAATTTGGATTTATAATTGTAGAACCTGATGAAAAATTACTTTTCATTAATCTAAAAAAAATAATTCTTCAAATCAGTATGGATTGAACTGAGAACTTCTGTTGAACACTCACAATTGATTGATCACTGGGTGGTGATCAATGTCATGTGTGTCAAGTCCTTATTAGTCCCGATCGAATGCTATCGATCATGTTGCAATGTGGCCACCAGTCTAGGTGACTCGACACTGCGTGCAATATATATTGAGATTAGATGGTGTCAATGAGAAGATAAAAGATTATTTAAAGAATTAAAAGGTTATTTAATCAGATAAACAAATTTGATAATTAACCGGATTTGTTGAGATTTACTTTGTCTGAAATAACACTAATTAACAGATCTA